CCGTCTTCTCCAGGGGAACCGAATTCTGCTGCCTGGAGACCATCTGTAATTCCGGGAGCTCTCCAGGCACCACCTGGAGACTGGCAACTGTAGGATGGTCCCGATCCAAACTGGACCAGCACATCTGGGAATTCTGTTTCCAGCCTATAACTTTCAAGACATATATAATTGCAGAGACCTGCAGAGGACCCAGCGAAAACGTACTATATAGAGAGGCCGGCAGCCAGTGTTCCCTCTAAGAGTGTCAGTTTGGTGTAGAGGTTAAGTGCATGGACTCTAATCTGAGAGAACCGGCTTTGATTCCCTACGCCTCCTCTTGCAGCTCCTGGATGACCTTGGGCAAGCCATAGTTCTGACAGGAGCTGTCCTTGAAAAAAGAGCAGTTACTGTCAGAGCTCTCTCAGCCCCACCGACCTCACAAGAGTGTCTGTTGTGGGGAGGGGAAGGGAAAGGAGTTTGTAAGCTGCTCTGAGACACCTTCGGGTAGTGAAGGGCGGGGTATAAATCCCATCTCTTCTCTTCTTCTTCTTCTAAGCTCAGTTAGTGTGAGCCAGCTCACCGTTCTTTAGCCTCCAGCTCACAGATTTTTGTCTTAGCCCAGGAAGGGTGGCTCCAGAGCAAACTAATTCATGCAGCAGCCAAATCGCTCGCTTGCGACTAATGCCGGTAGCTCACAAAGTAGAATTTTTGCTCACGAGACTCCGCAGCTTAGAGGGGGCATTGGCTGCAGCCTGTTCATAGGATCAGTTCTCAGGGTCCAAGTTGCCTCCATTCACAGGCAAAGAAGGGATCGCAGTAGGGTTGCCAACGCCAGGTTCGGAAATAACTGGAGATTTGAGGGCGGAGCCTGGGAAGGGGCGGGGTTTAGAGAGGGGAGGGAGGGGCAGGGTTTAGAGAGGGGAGAGCCAGTTTGGTGTAGTGGTTAGGAGCGCGGACTCTAATCTTGGAGAACCGGGTTTGATTCCCCACTCCTCCACTTGCACCTGCTGATGTGACCTTGGGTCAGTCGCAAGCTCTGGCACAGCTGTCCTTGAAAAAGAGCCGTTTGTGTCAGAGGCCTCTCAGCCCCACCCACCTCACAGGGTGTCTGTTGTGGGGAGGGGAAGGGAAAGGAGATTGTAAGCCACTCTGAGACTCCAAGTGAAGGGTGGAGTATAAATCCAAT